CGACACACACACGGGACACACAATATCTACATTGTCATTAAATATAAAACAAATCTGATATTTTTTTTTCAGAAGACCCAGCCCATGCCTCGGATAATTCAATTATCAGGAGCTCAGAAGAGAAAAAGATTCCAAAGAATCAAGCGAAAGAAATCTAACGGTCTTGGCAAAGACAACACCTTACAGAATTTTTCTGTTCCGTAGTGGAGAACACGAAGCTACTATGAAGAACCAGTACAACTACCAGATGATGTTTTCTTCTTCTTGATGACCCACCAACGCATCCCAAATACATCTTCTAAAAAAAATAAAAAGAACATACCAAGAATCAAGATAGCAAAGGTGATGAATCACCACAACCAAATTCTACAGGTACTTTCTGTGACATGGACAGTTAAAGCCCCACCAAGTGGATTCAGACCTCAGTCAAGTGGTTTCCTGTTTCCAGAAAGAAAAAAGATATGTGTTCTTTTGGTCAACATGCCCACCACATGTCAAAACAAAAATGATTCGACTCGTACCCAGAACTCGACGCTAATATGATCAGGTCAGGGCAAACTGGACAGGCAATTGTCCGTTATTTCAAGAAACTCCATGTTATTACCTCCATTCACAACAATGGTGAGCAAGAATTTAAGAACATAAGAACATAAGAAAGAAGGAAACACTGACAACAGGCCTACCGACCCATGCGGAGCAGGTCCATGCCCCCCCCCCTGGATTATCCCAATGACCCCATCCCCCGGATTATCCAATACCCACCAAGCCTGGTCATCCCCACTCAAGGATAGGCAATGTAACCAGACCCAGCAGCACAAGCTAGTCAGGTCCAACTCCCCACCCACCCACACCCACTCATGTATTTTATCTACCTATTTTTAAACTACACAACGTTTTTAGCCTTAATAACTGTACTTCGGAGTTGTTCCACTCATTCACAATTTGAGAAAGTTGCTCCTTACAGCCCATCAAAGGTGCTGTTTATTACTTTTTTAATGTACTCGTATGTCCAGGGGTTGTGACAGGTTCCAGCCAAGGATGGCTTAAAAATGAATAGAAAAAATCAGAGGAAAAAATGAAAATTCATGAAAACAGTCAAGGTCAACGAAATACTGTGCTAATTTAATTTTAAGATGTAAGGACTCCTCTCAAGGCTGATAGGCAGTTGGAGAAACAAGTGCATGAAAACAAGAAATACTGGTGTGAAGTATTGCGTTGTGTGTGGGCCATGACAGTCTTTTAGCTGAGAGAGACTGGCATTTAGGGGTAGTGGAAAGATCATAGTGATCCAAGCATAATGAAAACTTTAGGATCGTGGAACTTATTGCACAATTTGAATCCATTTCTAAGTAAATTTGTTTATATTCAGGTAACACAAATCCAGTTACATTAGATATCATACATAGCAAGCATATATGTTGTAAAGAACATGGGATAACCCAAAAAAGTCAGAGTGACTTATTTTCCATTGGGTCCTTTATACCTTATTATTATTACACTATAATGGAGATAATATCTTATTATTATAACATCAGGAGATATGTCTTATTATCCATATTATAAAGGAAATATACTAGGAATACTGTAAAATTAACACGGTTATTTACATTTACATGTGTGTTAGCTAAAAAAATAAAAAATCATTCTCCACCCCTTTTTTTGTCCACTGACATTCATCAGACACCTTTTGGGCACTCTTCTTGAACTGGTTCATGCTATGACTGTCTTTGACATGTGCAGGCAGACTGTTCTATTCCTTTATTGCTGTACAATAAAAGGTGGTTTGAAGCCTTGGGCCAATGACTGAGGTACTACAAAGTTTGTGCCTCTCCCCCTAGTACCATGGTTGCTTTCGCTCCCAACCTTGATAAAATTGCAGCAAAATATTCTGAATACTCTTTGTGGAGCAATTTTATAAACTTGATTAATTTCAGTTGTTTTACCTCTGTCTTCAACATTCACCATATCCAGTTGTAATTCATCCTGGCCCCTACATGTTCTCTTAAGACCCAGGTCCACATGAAATCTTTACTATATTGTCTGGTGATTTGCAGTCTCTTCAGTTTTTTTGGTCAAGGCAGAGAAACCATGAAAGAAGCGTAGTTCCATATGACATTGTATAAAAGGGCTTGACATAAAGGACCGCGAGCCTCAGTAGGTAGACACTGTGCCTTTGTCTGTAGAGGAACTTCAGTCTGGCATTCCCTTTCTTAAACCTACGGCTGTTCCCTATATTAATTCTCTGACATGCATGGGTCAAAGTGGATTCCCAGATATTTTACCTGAGGAAACTGAGTGAATGGGTTCCCCATAACACCGGACATTAAAATTATTTGCCCTTCTCAGTTATGTTTCGTGCCAAAGAGAATGACTTCCGTTTCCCGAATGTAATATAGTTTGTTGTCTACTAACCTGCACTAACAGAGCACTGTCACCCGCCATACATAGGAGTTTGCACTTGGACATTGATGGGCATGTCGTTTACATAACAAGAAATAATGAAGAACCCAGAACACTACCCTTTGGGGAACTCCACTCGCCGGTAGCAAGAGAACTAGAACTGTGAAGCCTCAGGCAGTCGCTGGTCAGTAAAGCTGATGCTGCTGAAGCTCTTACATTCAAAATGCTCTCAGAGATATTGGAATCATTTTTTTTTTTTAAGAAATGTATGATCAAATTAAAATTCGATAATATTTTTTTATAATTTGATAAAAGGGGGTGATAACTAAACTATTGTGTTAAATTTATAGAGAAATTCAATTTTTTTAAACTTGTGGTATCTTAGCCAGGCAACATATACTTTATATTCTTGTTATATTTATTCATTTCCTAATGAAATTATTATACACATTATTTCTATCGTATAAACTTTCTTTCTGTATTGATGTTGTCCTATCTCCTCTGATACATTTTTATCCATGTATATGGAATACCCCTAATTTTCTATCTTTTTTCCTAGAACTTCTACACCAAAGATATGAATAAACACAAACTAGATATTATAATTATGATGGTGTTGCATGATGTTACTAAAGTGTCCTGGAGGTGGACCTCCATAACAGAATTAATATTTGAAATGTTCTTTAAGATCGAAGGTAAATTAACTAAAGAGTAAAAAAAAACAGGTAAAGAAGCGTTTCTTGGCTGTTATAAGCTGACCCTCGCCTAATAAGGTTAATTTTTACAAAAAAAGGATTGAATCAATTTCTTTCTTGAAGTTAGATAGTTTTTATTTCTTCCTTTTTATAAATTACACTATTTTAACTTAAATGTTTAGTTGGTCGGTCGGTTGGTCGGTTAATCGGTCGGTCGGTCGGTCGGTCGGTCGGTTACTCCATTAGCAAATAATCATATAAAAAATATATATATAGATAGATACCGAAAGCGTGACACCAAAGAAACAAATAAATATTCATAAGTAATTATTATATACTGTAGATGGAATATACTACAAACATAAAATTATAGCCCAAGTTATTCTTAAAGTCAATAAAATTGAGAGAAAAAAAAATCTTACTTCTTCGAAACTTAACATATTTTTTTTTCAAAAACTGCTGTTTATCATTCATTTTACTTCATTCCTTATTTATAATTTAATTTAATTTCCTAAAGTGCCCCGGGCCCCCCAAGGTCTAACTCTGTCCCTGCCTTCTGCAGCTCCCACCTGACGACGTGAGACAGGAGACAACAGCACTCTTCTCTCCCCACCTCCCCTCCAGCTCCTCCTGTCTTGTGCTGTATAGCCCTTGTGGCTTAGCGCTTCTTTTTGATTATAATATAATCCTCCTGTCTTGAAAATATGACAAACAATGAGGATAAGTTGTCTCAACACAATATTACTCCGATCTGAGAGTGACCATGCGAACGAGCTTGCACGAGTGTATTAATGGCTACCATCTGAGGGGAATACTGAATAGTTGTCATCTGCTACAAGATAAACTGTATATAGTTACTCACAAGGTTCAAAGTATATAGCTACATAAAAAGTTACAAAGGTGTGGCTACAGACAAGGTTACAAAGTATACAACAATTATTTAACAGCTGCTACATAAAGGATAATTCTGTAGTGAACATCGGAATCTTCAAACATGGAATCTGAAATTACAAATTCCTCAATCTGAAACAATTTTGGCAGCTACCAGCTTATTTACTAAAAAAAAAATTGCTTATTTATTAAAAATAATAACTCTACAATTTACTTTTTTTTTGGATTTATATTAGGTATAATTATTATTCGTAATATTAATATAGACTCGTGTGTAATACAGAGAGTAAATAAATATTTAGACTGTAACACAAACAGAAACAGGTAGTTATTTCATTTCACAGTACATAAAAATGTATTACACTCACATCACAGAATTCATGCATTTACAATAGTACAAATATCAACCATTAATTCTCTAGAAAGACATTTGCTGGTATGTCTCCGCGGCTGTGTTAAGAACCCTGTCTCCAGGATTTTTAAGGCACTTGG